ATCGTAACCTACAAATATTGTATTTACGAAAATTCAAGGAATTTGGGCATTTTCAATCTGGCGGTCAGCAAACTTTGTCTATTTGGTTAGATACTAAAAACTCGTAAGTAACCATTTGCTTTATACTTGAATCGTAAGATAACTTGAGTACAAAGTCGAGAAAAAAGGTGGCCTTCAAAAATATTGAGCTACACCCCCAAATTGTCAAAAAAATAAGTAGGTTATATATGCCAAACGGCCTAATATTTTTGTAGGCCACTTTTTTTCTCGATCTTTTCATCTAATTACCTTGCGATTCAAGTGGAAAGCAAATGGTTAAAAAATACGAGTTTTTAGTACCTAATTAAATAGACAAAATCTGCCGACCTCCAGATTGAAAACGCCCCACTTCCGTGAATCTTCGTAAATAAAATATTTGTAGGTTACAATGACGTAAACCTATTTACGAAGTTTCAGCCAGATGTTAATAATTTGACAAAAAGGAGTCTGTTCTATGGATTATAAAGGTTGTTAACTTGATTTCCAAAAAGACAATACTTGTATTTTTTATATACATGTATAAAATAAAACCTAATCAATAGTGTAAGGTATTAAAACACTTCAATAAGCAAGAAATAAAATTATTTGTCATCAAGAGTAAATAGTATTAAAAGCGGTGGAATGAAAAAATTTAACGTACCATGAAAATAAATTACTATCCAATATCAGGGATTACGCTAAAGGATTACTTTAAACTTTAATAAATAATTAACCGACGGATCCATTTTTTTTTTTAACAAGACTAATTTCATGGACCACTGATACTGCTCAGCTTATCCAATTTCACTGATAACAAAAAATTATTTCGTATCTAAAGTTTCGAATCTCACTGACGAAATGAATAATATGTTGCACTGCCCTATAATTCGGACGATGGCTGAAATTTTTACTCAAAATACATCGAGAACCAACCAAAATACCCTTGACGCATTTTACATAGTTCTATTCAAAATAAAATACTCAACAAATATTGTACATAAGCAAAATAGTTCTCTCGTAGATTTAAAAGCTTTCTTGGTCTTCGCACGAAGATAAAAGTACCCACAACACGACAAGGGTGATGAAGTTTACCTGACGCGTTATGGATGTTTCGTATTTGCACCGAAATCGAAAAAAACAAACTTCTTCCTGTCAGTACGGAGAAATCTAGGATACAAGGTTGTTCAAAAAGAGGTGGGGAACCACCTTCTTTAGGTTAAGACGTTGTCCGAGGGCGCCGAATGTCTAAGGCCGGCACTGATCATAGCCCCATAGAAAATGGCGTAACTGGCACCATAAAACTTCCTTCTTGGCACCCCTAGCGTCTGCCTTGCTCCAACGTAGATTAAAAACAAAGTAACAACTATTTGACAGAAACAAGTTGGCTTTAGCATTTCAACACTTTGAAAGAAACTAATCAAGAAAAAAGATACTCTCTACTTGAATGAAATTATTATTTTTTTAAGTGATGAAATCTTTAGGCACGTTTTGCGTTTTTTTTTTAAGGGAATCAGATTTAACCATCTGATCTCCGATGTGTAAAGCTCAGGTAAAGTCGGCTGGAGTCGACTAATTGAAGTGTTTTTACATATGGATTAAAATATCTCAGAAACTAAAAATAGAATCTGCACCCTCTTTTCCACATACATCAATGACCTCCCTTCCTCTATTATGCACTGTCAATATCACCAATATGCCGATGACGTCCAAATTTATCTTTCCTTCAACCGGACGGATTCCTCTAATGCCATCCTGAAACTGCAACAAGACATCAATAGAATATGCGCATGGGCGAATCTTAATAAGCTGACATTAAATACAGAGAAAACCAAAGCCATCCTGATCGGATCCCCCTCACTCATCAAATTCCTTTACATTCCTTTACCTCCCAATATTATCCTGAACAACTAACCTATTGTGTTTCCATACCACCATTAAAAACCTTGGGTTACCCTCGATCAAAGCCTCTCCTGGAAACCACACATCTCCCAAATTTCCCGCCGTACCATATTCACCCTGAAACAGTTTAACCATCCATGTTATCTTCTTCCGTCCAAAACCCGTCAACTCCTGGTCTCCTCTCTTGTTTCCCCCTCCCCTCCCTTTGACTATGGCTGCATGGTGTATGGTGGACTCTCGGGAGAACTCGAAGCTAAACTTAAACGTCTAATGAATTGCTCAATCCGCTTTATCTTCGAGATCTCAAGGGATGCGCATATTACCCAGTTTTACACCGAGTTGAAGTGGCTTTATCTGTCCTACTCCCATCAATATTTCCTTGCTACCTTCCTATACCAAGCCATTAGAACACGGCGACCTGCCTATATTCTACAGATTCTACAAACGCTCCTTTCAATCCCGTCCCACCAGATCCCGTGTGTCCGACCTCTATCCTCCTCCTCCTAGTCTCCCTCTAGAACTCTATACCCTCAGATATTCGACACGCAAAATCAATATCCTCTTTCAAATCTCTCCTCTTCAAACACCTACTCCATTAGAGATTCCTAAGCTGTAAGAATCTCAAAGTACACCTTGAGATGTGATTCATTGATATTTTGTTTACTTAATTTACTTTCTTTGTTTATTTTATAGTTATACAAGTTTTTATATATTTTTATTATCTATCATTTTATTGTAATAGTAACCATCCTGTAAATATTAAATTTTATTTTATGGACACACCAGAATATTAATATATATTCTGTATTTGTAACTTGTTCTAACACACTTGTTGTAACACTAGTCCTAGAATAATAAAATTATTTTCATTCATTCATTCATATTGTTAGCAAGGGAAATGTTCATCATTTTATCCTCTTTGTGATGAGCTATTATTCAAAATTGTACATAACGCGACACCGTGTTAGAGAAATGAAAAGGGAAAAAATAGTGTCGAGTTTTATTTAAAATATGGATTAAAATATCTCAGAAACTAAAAATCGCACCTGCCTACTGTAACAAGGGAATTTTTCAACATATCATCCTCTCTATAATGGGCTATTATTCAAAATTTTATCTTTACGGGATGCCAAGTTAGAGAGGCGAAAAGCGGCATCAAAAACCAAATGTAATGAGTTTTATGGAAAATGTGGATTAAAATATCTCAATTAAAATGAAACTGAAAATCGGACATGCATAGTGTAAGCGAGGGAAATGTTCATCATTTCATCCTCCTTATAATTAGTAATTATGTATAATTTATATTTTATATAATTAATCTCGCCTTGTTGATGTTTACACTTTTATGTGTGGTCTGAAGCACACACCTTAGTTTTTTTTTTTTCATTTCCTTACACTCTTGTATCCAAACAGTTAAGATTTTTTAAATCTTCTGATTTATCAACCATAATGAATCAACTTTGAAAAAAAAAACAAATTTACAAATATTAAAATTTAGCTAGTAAGCATTATTAATACTCAAATTACAAAATTAGATGTTTTAGAAGCTCTACTTTTACAAGTAAGTGGACTTATTTATTTATTAATTAGATCTGTATGTTTGTACTTCGTCTAAATTTTGTAAGTATAACTGGGTTTATGGTGTAAAAATAAGAAGTGAAACACATCGGTTAAGTTCTAATTTCTAAACTTTTAATGCTATATTTACATTAATTTTCAATCATATAATTTATTCTACATTTATAAAATCTGCTTTATTTTCTGAACCAGGGTTACAAACCTGATTACAGACTATTATAAATAAATTAAAAAGTCATTTTCACAAGAAACAATATTCTTTGTTATTTTGATGAAAATAAAATAAATTGAGTATTAACTCCAAATAATTTATTTTCTTCTAAAAAAAAACAAAAACTATTTTTGATATTTGTACTATAAGTGTTATACTTGACTAATTTGATGGGTTACTTTTTTTAAGTTTTTCAATACGCAATAGTTACATTGTGGAAGTAACTCGCTTCTTTACCTTTATCAGAGCCATGCAAATAATATAAAATGAGGACTCAAGATTGCTTATTGGCTCCTAATATTAATAATATTCCGATGTCTTGAAAGTTTAAAAAAGTCTTGATTCACCAAAAAACGTTTAATCCTTATCTGAAGGAAACACTGAGGGATCCCCTCCTTATTAGTTAAAATAATAATTAAATAATCAGATAAAATTATAATACAGAAACAAATACAAAAAAACAGTTTCAGGCATAGAAAATTTAATAATAAATTTAAATACATAGTATTATTTGTTTAGAAACTTGATTTAATTAATATTAAATAAACTTTATTTATTTAATATTTACTTTTTTTAAATAATTGAAGATATATAAAATAGTAGCTACATTAAGATTAAATTAGAGTGTATGTTCAACGTAAGTAGAGTTTAGTAAGGAAGTTTCATGTTAATACATAATTACAAAAATTAATTAAAGGGAAGTATTTAATTTATAATTATAATACTACTTGTTTGTCTTTGATTTTCAAATAGTATATAATTTGGTGTGAGGAAGACTTAGATTTGAATATGTTTCTAAGCATAAGGGCATATTCACCGAAACTAAGAAGCTGTGTTTTTTCTATTACTAAGTTTTGTAGGATATTGCTCTGATTCTTTCATCTCATATTAGATTTGAACCAAAAAAACAAAAAAAAAAAATTTGAAATCCACAAAATCATTTTATGTTAACCTAGAGTGAGATGAAAGAAATATTAATTACCTTAACCCATATATCCTTGGAAAGTTAATATATTGAGTGAAATGATTGACTGGAAAAATAAATTTATTTAACAAGAACTAATTAGAGAAACATTGTTTTATATATATTTTAAAATAATAAAAAGTATATTATATAGTATTGTTTTATTATATTATCAGAAGAATTTAGCCTCTTCTTGGCCTGCAAAAAGTTCATTGCTAAGAAACATAAATTGAAATAAATGGTGGTAATATTTAACTATAAGTAGTGATATTGAATAAGTCTGTATCATTAATAGATTTTCCTTGATAATGGCCTTAAAAGTAGCAATGTTGGTTGAATGAAATAAATAAATGATGTAGAGGCGACAGCATTCTCCAGATTTTATTAATAAATATGCAAAGTTTCAAACAATAACTATACATATATTACATAATTATGAAATCACTTTTACAAAAATAAAATCAAATATATCAACAGCAGTAAAATCTAACAATACAACGTGACAATGAAATGCTAAAACAATTTGTAAAAGATAACTTCTATGGCAATAACACTAAAATATTACTACGTCATAAGGAACAATGTCAGAGGAACAGTTACAACAACATTCACATAAAAATAATTACAACATAATACAAAAATGGAATAAATAAGTACATAAAAACACTGGTGATGAGCATATTACTGCATGTCTGTGACCAACTCGAACCACTGTCTCAAGGCATCGCTAAGGACCGATGGTAAGTTGTTAATGTCCCTAAGAATTAGGTAAAATGGAAATGGAAAAGCATCCATATAGGGTTTAATTTCCATCACTTTTTGGCCTTTGAATACAGGTAATCTAATGTCCAATACAGAGTCCTGAAAAAAAGAAATGCAATATATTAATTTTGCAAAGACTGAATGTTATTAGAATATTAACGGAAGATTCCAAAAACAAAATCTCGTATCTCTCAATAAAATTATATAACTTAACAGTTAAAGTATCGTTAAGAATATTTAGCCAAAATTCTTAAGTATTTACTAAAAAATCAAGACATTTTTTTAATTTCTAAGCCTGTTCCTTTTAAATATTAATATGTTCATACACAATCATGAATTTAGCATATTTTTTATTTTAATAAACTATGTTGTAATAATTGCTTCATATTTAGAAATTAATGTTTAATTACATTCAAAGAGTAAATATTTGGATAAAATAAACTCCTTGGCTATTATCTTTTCACTTATCATAGTGGCTGGTTGGGATAGATTAATGATGACAGTCTCTATGTTAGTAGGTTGAAGTTTATATAAAATAAGGGGGATATGGGAATTTCTAAACTGTTTTCAAAGACCAATGATATTTCATATCATGTAGCTAAATATCTATAATCCCACTTAGCTCAAGAACATTTGATTAAGAAAAATTAATTTTATGATTTTAAATATTTTACTTCTTAAAATTTATAAGAGCTAAATGAAAAACACTATAAAAAAAGAATCCAATGACTTTAAAATTGAAACATTTAAAAGAAAATAGATTAATAAATACTGATGAAACACTTACTTTAGTCTTTGGATTGTCAATAATAATAAAGACAATAAAGAGCCTTGTATGGTTAGCTTTTCTGACGGCAGACCTGACCACCCTCTCTCCTTCTGACATGACACCCCTACCATCAGATATAATCACCAGTAACTGAGCCGAGTCAGGACCTCTTTGCGAAACCAGACCAAGAGCTGCTTCAACAGCGGCAGCGACTCTAGTCTTCTTCTGGTCGAAGCTGAACTCTTGCATTAATCTAAAGGATGCATAATAAATAATTAGGAATATATATAAAAACTTAAAGATAAGATGAAGGAGTTGGGTATCTATCAGTAAGTAAGACAAAGGCAGTAAGTTTTATTTTCTGTTTAATCAACATCCATGGTTAATATTATTAATGTGTATTGAATTATTTGAATTGAATATTCAGGAAAGACTCTTGTTCCCTTAAAATCCAAAAATTCAAATAATAAATTTTTAAATGAATGTTCTTATAACACACAATTAAAAAATTATAGTGACTAAAATTAATTAAATTTGATATAATTAGAAAAACATTAATTAAATGTTAAAACATGGGTGTTTTATTAATAAAAGAAAAATACATAATGTTCTTAAGGTTCAAAAGTCAAATTTAATTTAATGTCTCAAAAACTTTAATTAATTGTATGACGTTAGTAAAATTCAGGAATTTATCATATTTTTTAATATAATTCATCTTTTACTATTTATTCAGATAACGTCTGCCAAAATGTCAGTTTGGCACAACAAATGCAAAAGAACAGAATATATTATTTAAAGAAATAAATGATTTAAAACAACTATGTTAATACACTAACTATACGGTATTATAATGTGTTAAAGTTTGAAGATTTTTTACAAAATGTCAAAGTGATATTATGATGATATTTTTGCGGTCATATTATTTAACCACAAAAACAATATATATTTTCTAAAAATGTTACATAAACATAGAATAACATTTTTAAAAATACCTTGCCCCACTGCTTTCGGTAAACGTTTCTCCAAGTTGATGAAGAACTCTGACAGCTTCCCCAAAACTGATAACCGCCAAGTCGCCCGCCTCCAGGAGATTAAGTGCTTTACTCACAACTGCCAAAGACTCAAAAGCAAGCTGTAAAAGAAAATACATGATAATTTAAATGACATTTTTAAATTTCCCTGAAACTTACATAAGTTTTATATATATCATTATTTAAAAATTGATTTGGTCTTCTGTAACCATTAAAATATTAGAAAAAAATGATTAACACAAAAAATATATGTTACCTCCTTTGAATGGTTATCAGCCATAGATGAGGAATCATCAATAGCCAATATAATTTGGTATTCTCTTTTCGAAGGTTTCGTTCTCCTTAGCCAAATCTTGTCCTTCCTGAATTGACTGGCTATATATGGTATGACCTAATAAAATATATTGTTTTAATGATGAAATACATTTTAGCCATGACAAAATGTAAACAAACTCATTAACAATTATAAAAAATAGCTGAATATAAAATTTAATTAAATTAAAAAAGAACTGCATTCAAAACATGATGGAAAGTATAAATATAACGAAAAAATAAAAATTAACTAATAATGTGCGTTATACATTTAGAATAGTAAAAATAATTCAAATTCTTGAATAGACTCATATATTATATAAATAACTTAGTAAAACCAACTGAATGTGTCATTAATTACATTGTTCAATGTTACCAATTGTGTATCTGTGTAAAATATATTTTAAAATATATATTAATAACTAACTGGAAACCCTTAAGCAATTATGTACATCAGGCTATATTAAAAGATTTCAATTGGTCAGATAGTAACTATTGATACAATATCGTGTTTATTTATTGTAATGTTTGTTTTATTGTTATATTGTAATTGATGGATATTATTACTGTTTTTGAAATTAAATTTCTTATTTATTGGATATGATGTATTAATGTTTGTTTTTTAAAAACTCTATTTAAACAAATGAAACAGTGAAGAAGAAAATTGCTAGAATGGATGTATAAATTTATTTTAGTTATAAATGTAATGAATATATATTATTAATTACACACAGACCTCGACAGATGGAATTTTCCATTGTCTATGGGTTGTTGCTTGTATATATATATTTTACATTGTATAATTTTTTTAAAAGTATAATAAACATGTTTTCATTCATTCATTCAACCAAATTAATTAGAAAAAATAAGGCTATTACTTTTCTCATATTAATTCTCTTTCCAGTTCTGAAATCTCCTTTTAGACTAGATGCAGTTGTCGGCTCCAGAACCAATCTCAACTCTTCGCTCAGCTGTTGTGCCAGGCTACTGGTCAGTGAACATATCTTTTCCCAAGCCTCAGAAGCTTCTTGTACTACAGGGCGCTGTGATTTTAAAATAAACAAGGATTAATTGTTAAACTAGTGACAAAAGTTAAAATAAAATCATTAATATTTTAATTATTGTAATATGCACCGTGTTCCAAGAGGCTAATTGCTTCTCCAACTCTTGCCTAAGCATCTGCTTATCGGCTTCCGACAGCATCTGCTTCTCAAGCTCGGATATCTGAGTGTGGAATGTGCTCTGATACCCTCGAGGTACGGTGAATGTTTCGGAGTATTCGCCCTCGACCTGAACATATTAAATAGATAGATAGAAAAATTTATTAAAAATTAATATAAATACATACAGCTGAAAGAAATGGAAAATCATATATTATAATCCAAACCATTTCACTACTTTAATCACCTTAAATACAAATATTTTATGTTTGTACCAGAAATAAGTCGTTAAGATATCAGTTATTTATATATGCTTTGAATTTTTCACTATTTCTAAGGAAACTTTCTGGTCCATTTTTGATGGCACTAAATAAAATTTTCTATCATTAATGTTGAAACATCCATTAACTACCAAGTTCAGGAATTCACTGAAGAACAGAGATAAATGTTTTCCTGATATATGGAAACAAATTTTTTTGGAGCTAATGAATGTTTTAGCAAAAATTATTTTCTCTTTAAAATTTACTACAATACTCTCACACATAAACATTATTTAATGTTTAAGTAGCTTATAATGGTATGCCATACTAGTGATAATTTAATTGCCTTGAATAGAATTATGGCTCAGTTTTTGATAATGTTGCGATTCATTAAGGAATACAAAGAGGAAATAACACAGAACAGTAAATAATAAGAAACTGATGACAGTTTGAATATTCAGTAAAAATAAAAAAAATGATTGCGTTCATAAACTCTATTCTAATTGTTATTAAAATGAAATGGAAGATATGAAACAACTAAGAGATGTTATTATAAGAAATTTTTGTATATTTGAAATTAGTAATTACTACCCATTTTTTCACTTAGCAAATCATATAGCCCAGTAATCTTGTCATGAAAAGGGGGTCGGTCTAAGTTGCATCGAATAGGGGTAGAAGGTTTATTTTTTTTTTCTTGTATCGGATGTGACTAAGGGGCAAAATCCAAATTTTCCCCCTCCCCTGATCACTTTTTATAACTCCCAAAACTGCCATATTTTCACATTTTTTTCGGTTTTTCCTCATTCGACCATTTTCGACAAAAAAACATTCTAAACTAGATTAAATATGCTACAATTAAAAACTAAAACAGGTTCAGTATGCTTCATAATTTCAAGATATAGTTTTTCAAAATTTTGGAAATTTTTCAAACTTGAAAATTTTAAGCTATTTAACCTGTTTGATCATATGCACTTGTCTTTATATCTTTAATAACCTGTCTTATATGATTCAGTGAAGTAATTTTTTATTCATTTTAACATTTTGAAGCAGTGGTGAGGGAGGAGGGGATGTTTGGTGGGAGAGGGGATCAATTTTCACAACCAGAAGACTGAAATCGAAATAAGAAATTATTTAACCAACATTTACATCAAGTGCATACAAAAATTGTAAATGAAGTGAATGAAATTTTCGAAATTTGAAAATGTTAAACTAATTTAATTTTTATGTCTTCAATAACCTGCCTTACAAGAGTTAGTGAAGCAAACATTTATTTCAATTATTATTTTGAAGGAGTAGGTTACATGGATATATAAATGGCTATATAATTGATAAAATAAGTAAGCTAGAGTCATTTACTGAGTCATTTATTGCATTCGATCTTTTTCGTAGGCCCCTACGCCAGTGCCACTTTTCAGCTGATGGACAATATATTTGTACTCCGGCCGCTCATTGAGAAATGCAGGGCGAAGAATAGGGAGCTTCATTTAGTCTTCATTGATAAAATGGTGCTCCTTTATGGATAAAATGGGAAAAACCGAAAATACAGCAGTTTTTGGGATATTCGAAAGTGATCTATGGGAGCGGCCGAGGTTGAAAACTTGGATTTTGCATCTCAGTCATATCCCATACAAGAAAATAAAAATAAACCTTCTACCTCCATTCAATACAACTTATGATATGCAAGGTTACTGGGCTAACATAGTTTCATTTGACAAATATCACTAAGTCATTCAATACTTTATTGGCTGTATTAGATGGATAAATTCATTTAGTCCACGTGCTTTGCTTTTCGATCACATATTATTATTTTCATACAATTTCAACTAACTAGATGATGCTACTTTTGCTTGAACCATGGAGATGATGTCATATTATGCGAAAAACATAATTATTTATAAATGTGCAATATATTGAAATGAATAATTATTTTTTTTCTTGATGTTTTTTTGAATGGCTTCGTGATATACTTCAACATTTAACATATATTCTGAAATGAAATTTTTCAAGAGCCATTATAAAAATATATAGTTGTCAGAAGTGCGGTAAAATTTAATACTATATACTACAATAGTACTTTATTGGATATGCTCCCGAGCAACTCCTTAAATTATAACCACGGACGACCATCTCCACATCACTATAAAATATATAATTTTAAAATTAAATAAATACATACATACAAGTATCCTGAAAGTTAACATTAAAAAATATGAATGAAAAAAGTATCACCTCTATAGTAGCTTCATCATGAATTCCACCTCCTTCACCTTTTTCTTTCTTTCTCTTATCATCATAGTTTTCTTTATCTTTTAAAGGTGTGCTTTCTACCTCATCTATAGTTTCCACATCAATGGGTTCTTCTAAATTTAAAAAAAAAGGTTTAAAACTTTTATTGCCATGCATTTCGTAATTTTTATTGAGTTTAAAAAAGTATAAAGTTAGTTAAAGCATTGGTTGAATTCTTTAGATTCTTAATGAAATACATCAGCATTTCACACTGTATTTTTGAAATAAAACTATTTCATATAGGTAGAAGGAACTTAATTATTTAATGTGTTCAAAAATGTTAAATACTCAATCGCACTCACCATCTTCACTTATTTCAATGATGTCTTCTTCACCTTTTGGTTTTTCATCTTCTTCGTTGCCAATTACAGGCATCTGTTTTTCTACTTGTTCCTATAAAGAGAATTGATTAAATTAGCTATTGAAGATAAGTCAATTTCAAGGAATACTCACAAATTCATGACAGTGATATTTATAGTATATATAGTGATAATTAATAAAATTTACCTGAGTGGCAGCATCAATAGTCTGAGCATCGTGTTGAGATTTATTTGCTTCATGTATATGTTGGTACAGGTCAGCTTCAGAATTTTCCTGAATTCTATTTTCTTCTGTCTCCATTTCCTCTTTCTCTTCCTCATTTTCTTTTTGAATGCCGATAGTTTTGAGCTTTTTCTTAACAGGTTCATCAATATTCCCTTTACGAACAAAAATTAACAAGTTACAATGTTGCTTCAAAATATTTTTACGATATTTATGTGGTAAATTACATTCCATCTAATAACAACAAAGCCAAAATCTGATAAATATAAAAAATTTTCTATACATTTTCAAAACTATTTTTTGACTCATTTTCTACATCTTTCGATCAGAATTTATATCTCATAATATTTTTCCAATTACAAGTTTTCACTTAAATAAAGATGTAAAAAAAACAACACATTTAAATGTAATGAGCTTTAAAGCTATTTAATATTTTGGAAGTGGGATGGACAAATGTGTTGATGGATATTATGTTCAGCAGACTAGTTTAATCACAACTTGTTTGGTACGACTGTAGGCACAATTCTTACCAGGTTGTATGGTCTATCATTCTATTTATAAGAGGCAAATGACCAATGCATATCGGACGAGTCACCTATGCTTAAAGATCTATATCTTAATTTTAATTTGAACTTAGGCAAGAAATAAGTTTTTAAGTCTTAAGCCAAGAAATGAGTTTAAGAAGCGGTGAACATAATGATTGACAAAAAACAAGAAATTATCAATGAAAGTTATACAGCTAATATAAAATTAAAGGTATAAAAAAATAAAAAGTGTCCAAGTTCAGTAGAATTATACATCAACTTGAGTCTACTAAATATGTATCATGCCCTATATGTAGGTAAAACAAACAAACCTAAACTCCTCTCAATCTCGCTCTGACCAGGTTTTTGCTTCTTCTCTTCCACTTCACTTTCACCAGCATTCTTCCGCTTGCCAGCTGTTCCCCGGTGACCACCAGTGTTCTGATCTTCTTTCTCTGCCCTTCCTGCGCCTGTTTCTTCTCTGCCCTCTGCCTGGCTCTCTTCCGCTTCGGTTTCCATATTAACATCCATGTCCTCACTGTTCTTTACCTGTAATTTAAAATAAAAATTTATTGATGTACAGAAGTATTACAGTAAATTAATAATAAGTAAATACTGTAGAAAAAAAAATACAAAAATTAAAAAATTTGAAATTATTCAGATACCTGATCTTTGGAACCCTCTTTAGAAGCACTTTGTTCTGCCTGTTGGTCTGTTGATTTCTCATCTGTGCCAGAGGCTTCCTCAGCACCAACTTTTTCTTCTTCCTTTTCTTGCTCCACCTTTCCTTCTGGTTCATCTTGTTTTGAACCTAAAACAATTGTTTCTTATTGTAATACACAAATATTTATTTTTGGTATTATTTAATATATAATGGGCTTCTTCTTCTGCAGTTAATAGTGTGATGAATGAGTAAAAGAGAATAAGTAATTAGAAAGAAATGAATACAGATGTGACAATCATCAATAACAATGTAAAGTACTCTTTTAATAAATAAATAACTTCAGAAAATTTTGATATAAATCATTACCAGACATTTTTATATGATAAAAATTAAATAATAGCAAAAATATTAATTAATAAAAGATCTCACTATCATTGCAATATAGAATTTACATTAATAAGAACCTTTTAATTACAAAACCAAAGAAGCAGCCTTGAGATAATTTTTAGTTCATAACATAAATCAAAATTTATAATAAAAAAAAAATGTAATGTTAAAAGATAATTAAATTTGAAATGGTACCCTTTTATCTCAGTCTCAAGTCAATCTCTACAACCAAACTATGTACCAGAAAGAAGAGTTGTATTTTATACAAATCTTATTTTCTTAGGTTTTACTGGTAAATAGAAAAATAAAATGAATGCAAAATTTTAATTTTAATTATACCTTAGAAGTCCTGAACTTACCTTCCTCCTCCTCTTCCTCTGCTTCTTCAACTTCTGGCTTCTTGAGTTCAGGATTAGGAAGTTCATCATCTTCATCTGGTTTGTCCTCTTCTTTCTTAGCTTCTTCTGTTTTATCTTTATCTTCTTCAGGTTTATCTTCTTCTGGTGGATTTTCTTCCTCTATTTTTTCTGAAAATAAACAGAAAACATTTATAAACAGATACGAAAAATAAACTGATAGACTTTAGAAGAGTATTTTTAAATTTCAAGAATGAATTATCTCTTGGTTAGTATGTTCTAGTTTCATTAAACAAATAATAACGCACTTTTCATAACATCAATGTCAAAGGGATTTTCTTTTTCATCTTCACCCTCACTTCCTTTATCATCATCTTCATCGACAGCCATATCTTCATCATCCGGAATTTCCAAAGGCTCGACCTCAGGTGAAGGCTGCTGTTTGCCTAAAGAAAACAAAAATATATTTTATTATATTCCCGATATATGAGGTTATGGATATGAATTTGATTCTTTCGTACAATCAAGTTGTAAATTTAAAAAGAGATAAATGTTGATAAATCTAAAATTATGAATACATTTAGTGTGCAACAGCTTAATAAATAATTAAAAAATTATAATGCTGTGTAAGCATAAAATAAAAAATTAAAGATACTAATATAATATTTTTTTTGTTCTCATTTTGTAGCATTTTTACCTTTACTTACCTTTTTTTTTATTTTATTTTTTGGTTCCTCCCCTTCCTTGCCGTTAAGGCTATACAGGGTTTTCCCGGGCCAGGGGGTGTGGGCGGGGATTTAAAAGACGCCTTGGCACCAGGGGACGTGAACTCATGACTATATTTTTATAACACATTTGTCATATATCAGGTTGCCGGGCAACGGTGGTCCAGTGCACAACGCGTTAGCCCATTCGGCTATATATGTACCTTTATTTACCTATATATGTAATATATAGTAAGGTAAAGTATTTCGATAGTGAAAATTTTTTATCAGTTTTCAACGGAAATACACATTTTGAGGTCCCCTAAGTCCAAATAACCAAGTCCCTCAAAATGGTCTGTGTGAATGTGAACAATCTAGCTCAAAAACTAAAAGTTGTACAAAACTGATATCAAGTATTTAAGATATAGGTATATGACTTAGATGTGACAGCAACTTTTTCCTTAAAATCGGCTAACCGGAAGTGCCACTTTATATCAATGGTGAAACACATTTTTTTTTAAATCAATCGATTAAGCAATATTGAGCAACACATGAATATTAAAAAGTGATTAAGTACAATAATGTATTTATCCATACCATGATACGGATCAATTTGATCATCATCTACTTCAGGTTCATCCATTTCATTGATTTCTTTTTCTTTTGGTTCTTTCTTTTTTGGCTGCTTCTCCTCGTCGTCATCGACAGCTTCTTTTTCTTCCTCACCAGCTCCCAATTGTTTTTCATTTTGTTCAGCTCCTTTGTTACCTTTTTCATCCTTGGGAAGTTCATCATCGTCTTCTGGTTCTTCTTCTGAATCCGAACCCCATACCTTAAAAAATTAGAACAAAATAGATTGATATATTACCAAAACATACTTAGAATATTGCTTTCTTAGACAAACGTAAGCTAGAAGTACCTGTTTATCCAAAGTATCAGCACCCTTTTCTGTTTCTCCCATCTCCTTATCTGGTTCTTCTTCATCCTCATCTTCTTTATCTTCATCATTTTCCTCTTCATCTTTCTTCTCTATATCTTGAAGTTTACCCCCGAAATCTTCAGACATTTCTATTCCTTTTTCTTCCTCCTATTAAAATAATGAAAAAAAAAAAAATTACTTTCAATTTTTTCATCATTTATACATCGATTGTGTTTAACACAATAAACAAAGCACATAGAATACAACAAATTAACTTCTCATCAATAACTAAACAGTGGTAGCAAATGATACAGGGCATTGGTGATTAGGAAGTAGCCTAAGATTCTTTATCTATTTTCTTAAAAATACTCACCTTACAATCTTTATCTTCCTCTTGGCCATATTCACCCGGTTTCCTGGCATCTTCTAGCTGATCTTCACTCTCTATTTGGTCAGAGACATCCTTTTCACCTTCTCCTTCGCCCAGCCCTAATCCACCTTTCTTTGTTTCTCCCTCTCCTTCTTCTTCTTCTCTCAGCTCATCAGGAACATTATAGCCCTGACATAAAAATATACCTTCTTAGAAAATAAATTTTTAATACAAATATGTGCTTAATCAACATTCATAAATATGACTGTAACTATTTAATTCATATAGTTAAATGGAAGAATTCTCTATCATAAACAAAACAGTAATGAGAAAAAATCAAGAATATGAAAAAATATAATAAAATTCTTTATAAATGAAGCATTATAACTGAAACACAAAGTTGTAATTATGATAGTAGGGGTATTCACACAACTTGTAATAAATGCTTAACTTGACATGGTGCTAAATAACGTAAATCATGAGTAAACTAATCCCCTACCTAAAGAAGTTTTATTAGCTATAAGTTGAAACTTTTACTCACAATAACTTGGACTTCACGTGTTTATTTTAATATGTAATTTTTCTTATATTTGAATAATTATTACTCGAAGTATGTAAATCCTAAATTTAGATAGAATTAAAAAAAAAGATTCACTTAAAACTTCATTAAATTTTTAATAATTATAGATATTTCCTCCAACATTTTCTAGATTCCTTCCACATCCTTTTCATTTCACTTAAAAGTGATTGTAAAATGAAAACCTCATAGTAACTTCTCTGGGCTTATTAAATCAGCAAATTAATGTAAAGAACTTTAATACCCTTAAGAGGTTTTACATAAGAGGTTTTGCGTAATTGATTATTAGTTACATCCTCCTAATAAATTTTAGAGTTAAAAAAAAACTAAGGTGTGTGTGCTTTAGAACACATGATAGAAGTGAGAACAACAAGGAAAGATTAATAATATGAAAAATAAATCATAAATAATTTATGTATTATGTACTTATATAATAATTATAATACATTATGTAGGTCCGATTTTCAGTTTCTGAATTATTTTAACTAATATCTTCAATAAAACTCATTATCAGTTGGTTTTCTACAGAATTCACTATTATGCTTCATTCAGCAAATTGTAAAAAATAAATTAGAAACAAAAAGATTTAACAATCTGTACATAAATCTTAAAAGAGCTTTCAGTTTCATTTATTACAACTTGTATAATTACCAAAAACTAAGGTGTGTGTGCTTTAGAACACATGATAGAAGTGAGAACAACAAGGAAAGATTAATAATATGAAAAATAAATCATAAATAATTTATGTATTACGTACTTATATAATAATTATAATACATTATGAAGGTCCGATTTTCAGTTTCTGAATTATTTTAACTAATATCTTCAATAAAACTCATTATCAGTTGGTTTTCTACAGAATTGTTTTTTCCTTTTCGCCTCCCTAACACGGCATCATTTAATTAAGATATCATTTTGAACAATAGCTCATTACAAAGAGGATGAACATTTCCCTTGCTAACAATATGCAGGTCCGATTTTTAATTTTTGAGATATTTTAATCCATAAGTGCAAAAATACTTCAATTAGTCAACTCCAGCCGACTTTACCGGGGTGTTACACATCAGAAATATGACGGCTCAATTTAATTCACTTTCCACAAAAAAAGTGCAAAACGCGCCTAAAGAGATTTTCACTTCAAAAAACTTCTATGTTGTGATCTCTAATGACAATAATATAAGACCAAATGAGGATGAGAAACTTTGAAGATATCAGAAGGTAGTTACTCAGTTCAAAATTGTTCCTATTGGAAAATGGTTTACCCTTTAAAATTTTCTCTTGATTTGCTATATGTTTGAAAATATCAATATCTGAAAATAGTTGGGCCTTTCCCCCACCTCAGTTAATCAACTGATATACTTTATATATTTTATATTATATTATCTTCTTAATATTTAATACTGAAATACTCACATTTCGACTGAATTCTGTAAATGCCAAAAGGAGTGATGATGAAAATTTTCCCAGCACATTAAAAGCAGCTGTAAGCTGAACATTGAAGTAATGATACATAGAAACCAGCTGATCCAACAAAGGAGCCAAATAAAACAACAATCTAAATGAATAAAAAGTAATTAGCAAAAATTCACAACAATTAAAATATATACAAGTTACTGGATAAATGGCTAAGCTTTCTTACCCTTGAATAGATTCTTTTGCAATTTCATCTTCCAACTCAATGAGAGAAGAAAATACATCAGCCAAATCATCAGATACTTCCGAAATTCTTAATATCTTTGAATCTGATAATAAACTCTGGACCAATTTTTCTTTTAGATGCCCATCAACAATTAGATCTGCATCTACTTCCTCTGTTTCTTCAGTTGTCTGTGTTGTTTCTGAGTTTTCATCTGTTTTTGGAATGACTTCTTGAGCTTCTTCATTTTTCAGTACGTGTTTTTTATAAAAGTTCTGAATGATACATAGGACTTTATTTATAAATGTTTCCAACTTTTCTGTACAATTTTTAGGAAGTTTTTCTAAAATTTTATCAATAGTTATCGACTTATCTGAAGGAAATTCAATAGCTCTTCCATTACTTATAGCATTGTTAATATGTAATATAATTGTATCCAAACAAGAAACCAGAGGATTATTAATGACATGCCCCTCAACAGATTGATTAAAGAGTTGTTGAATTTTTGTAATTTCTACTACAATATCGCCCAACCTTGCAAAACAGTCTTCTATAAGGGTAAATTCACTTTGGTTTGTCAAAACGTCAGCATTTAGTATGGTGTTTTTATTGAAACTAGACGCTAATTTACTGTGTTTTTCTAATACTGAAATATCATGTTGCATCCTCAAACATGACTTTAGTAGTGATTGAACTTTACTTTTGGTTGATTCCCAAATTGTATCATATTTGAATGCACTCAGCATACTCTCAACCAAGGGTAGAGGAAATATTGTAGGAACTTGATCAATATCTGTCAGTTGGGCTTCTTCTTCTGGGCATGCATCTAGAAGTACAATAAACTGCTTCAAGCAGTAAACAACATCATCCAAGAGTGATTTCAAAAGAAGCTGCAATAAATATTTTCCAAGTTAAAATATAATTTCAAGAAAGTAAAAAAATATAAATATTTTTAATTAATTACCTTATTTTTTTCAAATGAATCACTAACTAGCCCATAATTATTTTCTTCCAGTTTTAATAGCTGTGCTATTTGGCAACGTATTACATAAATATTTTCTGATGAATGGCATAATGCTTCCTTGAGAAGATGAAGTAAACTCTACAACATAATACAATGATTGAATAACAAAACATATACAGGAATACATAAAAATTAAGGAATAAACTTAAGTGCTAAGAGTTAGGCAATATATTAAGTATTAGTAAATAAAGAAAATGATTACGATTATTCTCATTCTTCAAAATTATTTATGATATATTTATACTGAACCTGACTAGCCAAATCATAGCAAATGCTGAGGATGTTATTGAGGTATTTTAAGGTGGATTCAGATGGAACTAAGCAACTATTCACTATTATGCTTCATTCAGCAAATTGTAAAAAATAAATTAGAAACAAAAAGATTTAACAATCTGTACATAAATCTTAAAAGAGCTTTCAGTTTCATTTATTACAACTTGTATAATCACCAAAAACTCCATAAGCAGTATAGAAGAGTAGTGATAGTGACAAAATTATATAAATTAATGATTAAGACAGAATAATACATTCTCCTCAATATTATTTAAATTATTAGAAATACATCACATTATCAAAGTATAATTCTTAGAGGTAAGATACCATTGGCTTCTCCATGCAAAAGATTTGGTATTATAAAATCAATATTAAAAATTACTAACTACAATTCAACATAATGGAAATGTTAATTTAATAATAGAAGTAGTTACGATTTTTATGAAATAGATAAATAGGGGAATTTTTTAAAAAGTTTAAAAGGTTTATTGAATATTTGGAACAATACTATCAAAAACAATATTTAATAATGATTAGTTTTTACAAAGTTCAGTAGATTAAGAGGCGCGCATTGGTGTAAGTGCAACTGAAGTCGAAGGCTTGTTACAATAATTTAAAATTGAAAAAGCTGTTTAACAATTAATTATAATACAGGTGTAGGTACCTATATTTCTGTACCGTGCAACCAAAACATCTAATGTCCAAACTACCTGAAAAAATAGGGTAGGATATACAATAGGTGTAAAAAGGGTTAATGGCTTCCAGTTTTTAGCTACTGAGACTAACTAAATGTGGAAGGACAGTAGGCCCTTAAACAATTTATGTAGACCCTACCATGATTTTTTTTCTGCATTTCATTGGAATTTTAAAGTTTTGGACCTTTTATGTAATAATACATATACTAAACATAAACATTATGAAAAATTAACATTCATGTATAAATGATACATTTAAGTATCAAATATCTATTTTTATGTGAAAAAAAAAATGATGAGTAATCATTCAAATGTTATGAGAGAATAAACTAATTAAACTATAAAATTAATCAGTAAATAATTAAAAATTTGGTAAATAATAATTATACATACATTAGAATGTGAAGTGAATCCTTTGATTCGTTCAATAAATTGAGGACCTAAATCCTTGTGAGGTTTCTCTAATGCAATTTTTAACATTGCTAACCTCGCAACAGATGAATAAAAGTACTGCTCGGAACCCTTCCAGCAGTTTAGCCAATCTTTGTCACACTTCCTGCATCAAAGAAATGTACAATTGTGAAATAAAAATATATGATCATTTGATAAAAAATATGAACCTTCAATTTCATATTACCTGCGATCAATTTGCTGTAGGCTAGCTTCAATGTTGATTGGTGGCAATGAGGCAAATGCTGTATTGTTCTGTTCGAACATCAATAAGCCAGATCTGTATGATAGACCGATTTGTGTTAATGTTCGGAACAAATCGCTAACTGTCTTCCGCTTCCTTTGAAGAAGTGATTTCACTATGGATTTCTTTTTATCCTTTTCAATGGTAGTATCAATCTGTAAATTTAATTGTTATTAGATGTAAGATGAAGGATAATAAACAAAATATCATATAAATAAAACACAAAATCTCAGTTTAACAGATCAGAATAACATTTTACTAAACAGTTACACACAATTTTCAAGTTTTAAAATATTCTTTCAAATCATGAATCATAAACTCAATTATATATTGAAGGGAAGATAACAAAAATCTAATGACTAAAATTCGTATTTCAATTTGGTTTCTTAAAATCAAGGCAAATATGATTTTTATATACCATCAAACCCAGAATAAAATAATTTGGTTGTGAAATAGAAAATGTACATGTTTTCATTTATTTATGTATAAAAATGCATAGAATGCATAAAAATCAATTTTTTTTTATATAGTTAGGATTTCATAATCAACCTTACAATCATAGTAATGTAGTGGTATAGTATATATCTCTCTATTACATAAAAAGGTTTTTAGTGGTGACTGTAATATTTTATTTTATGTATACAAAGCGGGACGGACTGTAACGAAAATACCTCACTTAATACTAAATAAATATAATAAACGAAAATACTAAATATGTGTGTGTGATATATATAATATGTATACATATAGCATTTCCAAGTCAAATTCAACCTTTTTTATTTCGAATTCAACCTTTTCCATTTCAAATTAAAGTCTCAAATTTTTGTAAATTATTGATTTTTTTTTCTGAATAAGGGTCATTTTTCAATGTGAGGGTCTATTATTATGCTCCCCTAAGTAGAGTTTTTCAAAATACTATCGATTTTATGTAAACTTTTGGATATCGATTCACTGTACCTATTCGGATTTATTCGATATAAGAGTGTATTCTTATGTTTCTGGAGCTGTAGATTTCTACAAATGCTTTCCAATGTTTTGCCAAACACAAAATCTAAAATGGTGACACTTTCTTCTAGTCAACTCAAGCTCCCTGAGAGATCCTCTCTCTTGTAATTCCAAACAACTAGTCCCTCCACCAAACAACTTTCAAGATGATAATACTATTACTGGGCTTTACCCACTTGAGCCAGGATCCCTTTTCCCATCCTCTCTTCGCTCCAGCTAACACAAACTGCTTGCCAAAGCAAAATCCTTTGTTCCCTTCGGGATTTTTCTTTCTGGGAAACTACAGAGCAGCCATTTTCTTTTTATTGATCAAGTGAAACTAGATTAGCTTACTTTTCAACTGTTCAACATTAATTTATTCAACCACTTTTACCAACTTCCAATTAAGATGTACATTAAAATATATATGATTATGATTAATATGCTGGTATAGACGGAATTGCGCCAGAAATGCTGAAAAACGTGGGTTTAAAAGGAATTGAAATGTTGTAGCACCTCCTTAACGTAGTTTGGAAAAATAATAAAATAAAAATCATCCCGATTTTCAAGAAAGGAGATAATCGTGAATGTCGGAACCATCAAGGCATATCCCTGCTCTGCATCCTCTACAAAGTTTATTGTAAGGTGCTCGAAAAGCGGTTGAGAAGCCTCATAGAACAAAAGATAGGGGAAGAACAATATGGCTTCCGGCCTAACAGAAGTACACAGGACCTGAACGATGAGACAAATATCCGAGAAGATTATAGAAAAGAGCAGAGGTCTTCGCCTGTTTTGTAGACCTAAAGCGTTTGACAGGGTGCAGAGGGCAGACATATCAAGAGCATTGGAGGAGTGTGGCGTTCATATAGGATTGAGAAAAGCCATCCTAAGTATATATGAAACACAGAGAAATGTAGTTAGGATGTGCAACCACACATCAAAAGAATTCACAACAGATCAAGAAATCAAACAGGGATGCAGCCTTAGCCCCCTCTTGTTTATACTAGTGCTGGACTCTGCCCTAAAACAAGCAAAACAGAAAATGAGGCCATACAACCTCGGATATAGGAACCTACAGAGCGTCCAGTATACAGTGCTTGCTTTTGCTGACGATATGGTGGTGTTCGGAAATGACTGCCGTAATCTGCAGTTTAATCTCAAGATCCTTCAAGCTGAGATGAGAAATATAAACATGGAAATTAACATCTCGAAAACAAAATTCATGAGGATCGAGAGAAGGGACCGAGGAGACCGGATCGTTCGGCTGGGTGGAATCCGCCTGGAAGAAGTTGAGGATTTTAAATACCTGGGCGCTCACCTTAACGAGTTCGGATGGGTGGATGGAGAAATTAAAGAGAGAATTAAGACGGCAGGAAGATGCTTTCACTCCCTCAAGTCAGGCTTCTTGGACAAAAAGGAAGTCTCAAAGACCACTAAGAAAATTGTCTTTAAGAATACTTTCCTCCCTATATTGACGTATGCAAGCGAGTCTTCGACCCTCACTGCCAAGCACAAAAGCCAAATCCAAGCTATGGAAATGCGCTATCTAAGGAAAATAGAGGGGAAAACAAGAATAGATCGCATTAGGAATGTGACCATACGAGGTAATCTGGACCTGAGGCCTGCAGAGGAGACAATCCAAGAAAACCAACTTAGGTGGTTTGGACATATCTCGCGAATGGCTGAAAACAGAATTGCCAGGGCTACCTACGAGGTCAAAGTAGAGAGAAGGAGGCCACAGGGAAGACCAAGAAAAAGATGGGAAGAAGGAGTTAAAGAAGCCTTTGACAGGAGAGGAATGGACTGGAGTAGGAGAAGACAGCTGGCACAGGATAGAGATTCGTGGATCAGGCTCTATAAGAAGGAACCTCACACTGCTCAGCGGTAACAGAGGACTGGATTAAGTTAAGTTATGATTATGATTGTATCTATAATTAACGGATATAAATTACTTACATCAAATTCTTGAATAAGTTTTCCTGTTTCATCTATTTCTTCGACAAATAATTCAAAATTATCTATTAATTTTGAATATTCACATTTAGTAATAGTCCGTTTGCAAATGCTGTTTGACTTTTTAAGTAATGAACTTAATCTTGCAAGAAGATTTTCATCACCTTCCAAGTCTTTATAACTTTCCTAAAAGAAAAAAAAAAAAGAAATAAATAATCCTTAAGAATATATTATCAGCAGATTTAAGAACATAAAAAAAAAAATCATAACATACAGCCATTTTAAGAGAAGTCAAAAAGTTTGCAGGATTCAAAGATGACAAATTGAGCTTTCTATTCAAATTGGGAATATCTATTTTGATCATAGCACCCCTAGCTGGTTCATTAAGAATTTTCTGTAAAAGAAAAAAAAATTATCAATATCAAGACATCAGAAGTACACAACTTATATAGTTCCGGAAATAATCAACCAAATAGATATCATCAGTTTATTGCAAAAAGTCATTAAGTACATTTTTGATGGAGTTGAACTTTTAAGAACATTTTTGTGAATTTTGATCTTATTAATGGATAAAAAAAACAAAAACACAAAGTGTAATAAAATGACACAAACCCTTTTATATGTCAAATATAGTAACAAAAAGCGCACAATTTTCTGATTTCATAAAGAGAAAATTCATTTAAAGTTCTCAGTGTTTTAAGGTTATGAAATGTCACTTAATGAATTTTTGCAATAAACTGCTGATGTATACTATGAACAACATTTACGATGAAAATATAAAAATACACACAAATAATAAACACAACAATAATCAACTAATTTCCTGAATTAATTTGTTATACAATACAAATTTACTCAGAAAAAAATTTAATGATAAGCGAAGATTTCCACACAGTTTAGCAATAAATAAGTAACAAATAAGAATTAAACAGAACTTTTGCAGATTTTATTATTTTATTAGCTTTACCCGGTGACGAGCTGCTGTGGCTCAGTCTGGCAAAATGGAAAAGAAATAAAATAGAAAGCACGTATGAGTGACTTAATATCAAAGGACATCTGTCATTTTTAAAAAGTTGAGAAAAAAAATTTGTCTGTAACATTGCTTCAATTCAAACTAATTCTAATGGGTTTTTTTTTCATGATTCAACTTGAACATTCTTAATCATCAGAGTGAATAAGCTATCATTCTTAATCATCAGAAACAGTTTGAGTTGAACTTATAAAACTAAAATTGATTTTTTCTCATCTTTTTGAAAATGACAGAGATGACGTCTTTGATCTGAAGCCACTCATATATTTTCATGTTTAATTTTATTATTAATTATTCTTATATTTAATGTTCAACTTTGTTTTGATTATTTTATGTTAAATAAAAATTTAAATTTTCGTTTGTTCAAAATATCAAAAGTTCTTCACCCATTGAATTTGCCTTAAAATTGTTGCTTAAAATTACTTCATTTAAATAAGTGCCTGGTTTAATATACCCAATATTATAAAATATAAGGTAAAACTATATACATTCATTAAAACCGCACCAACGGTTGGAGGTAAAAGCAACACATGCTGTTCAAAATATTTTATGATACCGTTTTAATGTTAAACATTTTCAAATATCAAACATGGAAATGCATTGAAATTGCGCTATACCATTTACAATAGCGTTCATTTCATGTGCATTAGAGCTGCCTTCCAACTCCCTCAAACGATTTCGCATACTCCTAAGATATTTGATTGCTTGCTTCTTGTTAATAACAACGTGGTTACATATAGTAATGAAAATTGTAGTTGAAATATAAACCTTACAAAAGAAACCCTAAGGTAAACAGCACAGCCTTATTCCAATGTAATGATAAAGAAAATAATTTATTAAAAAATAAAATAAACTGGAAACAATACATAGAGGAAAAAATAAAAATATGAATATAAAGAGAATATTATAGTATTGACCTAAATAAGGAGAATCATATAACTTTTTCAAATGATAATCTCAATTATTGCAGCAATTATAAAATCAATAAACAAAAAAAAAGGCCTTTGCCAAAGAGAAAGTAGTAAATGTTTAAAACTTTTTAACTCTGCAACGAAACATCCTATTTCAATGATTTTTTTTTTGTATTATTTTGAAGGGAATTCAGGAAGCATTAAAATAAATATGGGTATTATCAATCATAAAATGTTTACTTTTTCAGTTTTTTGCAACTGAAACTTAACTTTTTTTATAACTTGTTTTCGGGAAATTATGATATATACATAAATTAAAAGGGTTTCAAGGAGAAGACTTTAACCAAGTTTCATTAAAATCCTTACAGCCGTTTTGGTGCTACAGTTTATAGCGACACATTTTTCGGCCACCATTTTGAAACAAAAGGCCGGATGGTAATGAAATGTTCAAAAAACACTTCTCAATTTGTTTCGATCGTGTCAAAATTTCAAAAAAATCGGTGAAGAACTTTCAGAGATAAGCGGATTTGAACAAAAAAACATTTACATTTTTTTTTTTTACATATATAAAATTATAGCAGGATAGAAGTACTGTGCCAGAAACCTTCGTGGAAATGTACGCTATAATTTCCCAAAGTTTCATGGCAATCCGATGAATGGTTTAGTAATGCATAAAGGACATATATTCATTTTTATATGTATAGATTATCTCCAATGACTAATGTTAACTCTGATAACTTTTAAAACCATATTAGTTAAAAAACAAAGTTTTGATCAAACCATTGGCAATGGAGTATGGAATACTTAAAAGAAAGATTAGATCAAAACATGAAAATGATATTTAAATATACCTCATATTCTTTAATATGCTTCAACAATGTGTGATGTGTTTTCTCAACTGCAGACTTGATGGACCAATAGTTTATATCATTCCATCGAGCAATCTTAACAAAATCTTTCAGCTTTTTTTCAATCGGTAAAGAAAGATCAAGAATAGTTTTTGAAATTGCATTTTTAAACAATTTATAAAAGTTATATAAGTTCCATAGAATTGAGGAAATTGTAGCTGTAAAAGAAAGTAGAGAAAGCCATTATTAATAATAAACAAAATAAAAAATAAAAAGAGATAAAAATAAAATAATTTTAGACATAAAAGATAGTTTTATTTACTTGTATAGTATAACTATTGTACTGATATAAACGTATAAATATTGCTAGTCCTCCTGTAAAATTAACATTAAAAAAAAAAGTATGGAATGAAGATGACTATCAGGTCTCAGACAAAGCAATATCAACTGTGATGCAAAGCAAAATTGATTGTATTTTACAGTAGTATATAAATCACAACATACATAAAATAATTTTAAGTCAGGAATTTTACTAATATTGTTAACACAGGAACGATTAGTACATTTAAGTATAAAAAAGAGAATATAAATGATAATATATTTAACTTCTTAAAAATAAATGTAAATAGTAGAAAACTTACTTTGTCTTTGTGATGATGGAAATAATAATGCATGGCAATGGAATGTATACAAGAGATCGAGCCTCACTGAAAACTCTCCTAGCGATGAAGTCTCCATGTAGCCCTGCAGTGTCTTAACAATGTTTTCAGTTTCTTCAGCAAGTGAAGCCGTTTCTGTGTTTCTAATGTATGCAGTGACGATTGAAAACAAATAAAACCACCACTTTCTGGCTCTCTCCTCGCATCTGAAAATAAATAATTAGTTTATCATATTAGGAAAACAATATTCAGTTTCATATCTAAAGATAAATAGAAAAGTAATGTATTTTTTAGTTAAGTAATTAATTTGCAATATTACTCAACAACTATAATGGGAAAAATCTTTTTTAAAATATTTGACAGGTATCCTGTAAAAAGTAGTATTTTTAAGACTAGTCTCAATTTAATAACAAGAATAGTTTATGATTGAAATGAAACAAAAAATGAGAATTTTTAAAAATGTTCTTTCAGTTCAAAATACTTAAGTTGAACTTATAAATTAATTTGATCACTATAAAGATTATATTGTGTATGTTACTAGTTTTAAGTTGTATTTAATGAAAAAACAATAAAACTGTACATACATCAGTGGCTCGATAACCCATTTAGTGAGGTGAGCCTCCTCAATAAATGTGTAATTATTAACAAATGTAAATATTAAATTATTGTTACTTGAGGTATGTTGAATGTAGAGCGCCTTTCCAAGCAGAAAGTTCCAATTTTCTCCAAGCAATGATTTGATTGGTTAAAGAGGCTGAATGCTGGGCTAATGAAACACCAGCATGAGCATTTTCTTCCCAATGATGTAGTTTTGTGAGAAGAAGCTCAAGACCAGTAAGAAATCTGGAGAGAGGACTAGACATGGAAAATCCAGTGACGCGTTGTATTATAGTAGTAATCTGAAAAATTGGAAAAAATTGAAATGAAAAGAATAGGAAAGATTACAACTAAATAATTTATTTAATTATTTAGATTTTTTATTATCATTCCTGAAATAAACTAACATAAGATACACAGAATTCTGGTTATTGGTGAATCCCACTTTTAAGATGCTAAAACAAGTAGCTAAGGATTTTATACATAAATAGTAATAGGAGACTATAACTTTATTATAGTTCATATATTTTTTCTATATTTAGAACAAGGATTATCCACAGAGGTACTCAACCATTATTATTTTACTTATGATTAATTCTATGGATCATCTTAAAAAATTATATATCATTCAGATAATTCAATATATACAATTTCAATTAATTTCTTCATTAATACATAAATATAATATAATTCTCTCATCATTAAGTAAAAATAATAAATTTATAAATTGAAATATAAAAATACAGATGGTGAATAAAGTCTAACCTGCTGTAAAGTAGGATGATCTGGCCATTCCACAAGAAGCTCATCCACCCGTTTTTGAATAGCATTTAGAAGTGGAATACACTGCTTGCTTTCTGAAATGTTAGTGTCCCTATAAAAGTCATAATGATTATTCTCTTTGATGGGTTTGAAAATATCAGCTGTCTGAAGATCAGCTGCGATCAAATAGCTACTAATGCTAAATTGGTCCAGTTGTTTTTCACAATGACCATGCAGTCCATCAATAAGTGTGGAGAATACACTAAGCCTATCACTGAGTAGGGCTACGTAGTTGTCTTCTGCAACAGGTTCCCTCGACAGCCAATGGTTTTGTGCCTGCTCTCTAACGATGAGTGAATGAAGTTGGCAAATGTCTTCTATTTCAACACTCTTCAGCTTCATAGGATCTTCGACCTTCTTTGTAGGTGTTGGAGGTACATAGTCCAGAGCGACTGGAGCTTCTAAATCACCAAAATCATCTTCACGACTAGAAGGGAACAACTGAGAAATTTCTTTGGCAGCTTCCTCCTCTTCAGTTAATTTCATTCTAAAAACATATAATAGGTAATTTGAGAAATAATATACATGATTGAATAATATAAAAAGAAGTATAATTATAACAATAAAACTGCAGACTTGTAAAGTATAAACTTATTTTGTTTTCCATTCAGTAATATATGTTATATGTTATGTAATAATATGTTTTTTACAAAATATATATTTATTAACTATAAATATTACCTGTTTATATAAATACTATCTTCTTGAGCCTTTTTCACTTTTTCTTCTTCTTGAATTTGATTCCAGCATAAAACAACATGTTCCAAAATGAGAAAAAGAGTATTCTTAACTTTATCAATTGCATAAGTCCTGGAGAGCGTTTTGATAATACGAATACAGATTTTAATCAACCTATTAAAAAATAGAAATAATGATAAAATTAAAAAAAAAAAAAGAAATTTAAAATAAACATATATAGAGTTAAAAGATACTATACCTTATTTTATTATCTTGAGTACTAAAACTATTAGAGTCTTGGGAAATTTCATTTTTATTAAGAAGGTTCATTAGCCCAACATCAGAACAATGTTCAACCACTTCAACAGCTGACTTTAAATCAGCAATTGGAAATATAATTAACATTTTCAAAAGCTGGTCCACTGATCTGTTACCTCTATGAGCTGATTGATTTATTTCTTTTTCAACAGCAGAATAGATCAATTTAACACCATAAACTATCTGGAAATGAAAGATAGAAATTTAAATTTAGAAATTAGTTTCCATTGGAACAGCTCTTACTTTTAACTCAGTGACTAAAATACCTGCGCAAGAGCCATCAATATTGGGCCAATAATGTCAGGATATGAAGTGTAATATCGGTTGTGAAGCTTTTCTTGATAATGAGTGACTGATAGAAGCCAACTCTTTATTTCCGCTAATAGATTTTCTTTGCGTTCTTTAGGTACATCGGCCTTGTTCAAGTCAATAAGACTGTTTAAGCGGTTATTGAAATTATCATCTGAGACCAAAACAGACACCAGATGTGAGATTTCCTAAAATACATAATATAAATTTAAAAAGACAAATTACAAAAACTAAAAATTGTTAGGATATGAAGGAAAAATTCATGAAATAAAATAAACAAAACATGATATTTTTTTTAATGAGTAGTATAGCCAGTTACCAGTTACAATAGTACAGATACTGAACTAATATAATCTATTTAATTTTTTTTTTTATCCTCAATTATACAAAAACAAAATTATGTTAAGTCTATATAACAATATAACATTAGGTAAATAATACTTGGAATTATTATAATATAAATGCAATGACGATATTGTATGTAGCACATAGAAATCTGAAATAATAATAGCATCACCAAATCATTACAATGGAAATTCATTTAATCTGAATTTTTAAATGAGAATGAAAAAGTCAGGAAAATTTAGTTTACAATAATAAGCACTTTATGAACTTGGATTCAAACCTTGCTTGAGCTCATACCTCTTTAATCAAAAACTTTAAAAGGTAAGTTTTTAAGATGTTAAAATATAAAACAACAAATGGAGGAAGCAGATAATAGATCCAAAAGCAAGCATTCACCTTAACAATATCGCTGTATAAAGATGTAGCCGGCCTAACAGCGACACTCTGATCAAATCCTTTATATTTCTTGCCTAACTCGTTAATCCTGCCTTCATGTTGTTCTTTCAATGGCCAACTGAGAGGTGCCCCTATTGTAATTTTCATTAATTCTTCAGCAGATAAGAGCTTATGAAGTTCGGAAACCTAAATAATAAGATAATGTATAAAACTCAAATCAAGATAAATCTGACAATTAGACTATATAAATACGTAGATTTCATTATTTAAAAAAAATTAAATGTTATTAAAGAATTAATGAGGCAGTAAGTAATAAATATAAGAATAAATTATGTTCATTTAAAAGCCCTAATGTTTCCTAAAACTTATTTTAAAAAACACTTAATACAAGTATTTTACAAACCTCTTCAGACATATATTGCATTTTGATCGCTTTCTTCTTTACTGGATCCACCAACTCCAAAAGTGAAAATAATTTTAATTTTAGAAAACCAAGGTAGGCCCAGCCAAGACCACATGACATTGATTTTTCTACATTGCTCTTTCCCTCTTTCATTTCTGAAGTAATCTGGTGCAATTTAAAGATGTAAGCAGTAATAGTCTTCTCTGGCCTCTGTTGGTTCTGGAGGAGAAGGCCACCTCTAGATATTTCTTCCAATTCTAACTTCAACCGTCCAAAGACCCTTTGTAAGTCTTCTCCGCCTTCAATTGCTGATACATCTCTTATTTTGGAATTTACAACCGCAGTAAAGTTTTTAACGAGTTTAGTAAAATTGTTCTTGATACATATGAGATCATTTTCACTAAAAAAAAAATTAAATTAATTAAAAACGTAAATTTATAAAAAAAACTAGGTGAACAATATACTGTGAATAAAATTACAAAATTATTTTTACCTGCAATCTAAAATTGGAGAAAATATTCCGGGTAAATTTCTCCAAAGCAAAATTTTTATTAAATGAAATAATTTCCTAGTGTTCTTATGAGCCTTTAATGAGAAAGTAGGAGAGTCTTTATTTTGTGAGGAATTGGAAAATATTTTGCTCAAAAACAAAGAGTATAGCGGTGTGTGCATTCCATACAATGCCTGAAAAATATTGTAAAACACATGAAGAATGAATACTAAATAAAATACATTTATAATTTATTAAAATTTCAATACTAGTTAATAATTTTTGAGAAAATAGATTGTTAAAACAAAATCATATCCCCTTTAATAACGAATACAACTTATTGTGCATTTGTACAGCAAATGATTTGAGCCATTTCAATTGAAATGTTTATAAAACTACCATTTTTGAGTTTTTCTAAAATTGAGTTAAATATATGATTTCTGATTAATATTTTAGGTTAGTTCATAACTGTTTAAAAATCAAACTGATAATTTATTTTGCAGCCAGCTCATTCTGGGGATAAATGTTATGTTCCAAATGAGACTAAAATATGTTGGGAATCTGTATAATGTACAACCTTCCTTCAGTAGAAGACGAAGAAAAGAGCAATAAAGCTGATAAAAAATAGAAATTGAACTGACATAACAATGAAATAACATTCACTTTAACTTCCCTTTAAAACAATAAATAAATATTTGTTTACATATCTACTAGAGTCAAAAAATAGTGATGCTAAACTAGACAGGCGTGATAGGATGATATCTTCAAAGTCAATCTAATAAATTTTGATTTTGGTATAGTTCAATGAAAGTAGGTAATTGATGTTGGTATTGGAATTGAACAATGAGATATGCTAAGGCTAATCAACTTAAAGTATGACATTAATCACCCAATATAATTTAATTCTTATTTATACAGGAGTTAAGTGTTTAATTTTTTTTATTTATTTATTTGGTAGATTTATAGAGGGCATAATATAAAAAGAAATTAAAAAACTTCGGAAATTGGTTTTGGTGGCAATGTTAATTTATAACGTACCCATGTTCTTCATTCTTTTTAAATACATTGGACATGCATTACTTGTTATATAGGTATTATATAAGGTTCAAAACAAATAAATATTTAGTAGTGCAAAGCATTATCATTGAGTAACAAATGTGCACAATCCACTCTATGATATATTAAGAAATTGTAATAATGATATAAATATATATTATCAATCTGATACATTTTATATACCTTACTCTCCAGAATGATTTGATCTTCAGTTAATGAAGAGGTTTCATCCCAATTCAGCCAAGTGATTGGTGATGTCAATGCAATAGATCGATTGAAATGTTCAAAAAGGAAATAATTGAGCTCAACATGTTCTTTCTCGGTAGGAATAATGGACCGACAAGAGATGGTCTGAATAAGTGCGGCAGCGATGGGAGGGATGGAGTCAATCAATCGATACCAGCTGCTGGCTGAATCAATCACGCATTGGCTAACGTCATTGGTTTGTTCCGTAGTCCAAAATGATTTTCTCATAGCAGAGTTAAGTTGAAGGCATACTAATTCAAGAACAGGCCATAATTTAACCGTAGTTATTTCTTTTATACCACTATTAGAGCACTGGCTACTTGAATTGATGGAGGCTTCAATCTCCTTTATCATGGAAGGCACTAAAAAATAAATAAATGAAATAACAAAATAAAATAATAATACTAAAATTACAAAATTGCCTATTATATGTTATTAAACCATAAACCTACTTGCAGACAAATCTTTATTCTCATGAATGGTAATAGTGGCCTGGAGAAGCATTTTTCTGGTCTTTTGGCCTTTGGAACAGGCCAAGAAGTTGGTTTTGTCCACTACATTGTTGTTCGACGCATTCCAAAGACCAACTTTTGAATTGAAGCTAAAAATAAAAAGTTAAAAGAATTGATGTAATAAAAAAGAATAATAATACAAAAATTGATATAATAATTGTTTATTTTATTTTATTAATCACTGAAGAATGAGACACTATTTAAGAATGGAAGTTTCAAATTAAAAATATAGTAGATATTTATTATCTAAATAAAAAGCTAATGAATATCTAAATAATAAAGATAATTTATATTTTTCAATAACACTGTTCAATCCTCTCCTCAACATCATTAAGGAATCATAATTATCAAGTATCTCATGCACAGAAATTTTTTTCTTAAGTTAAATGTAAGTTCATAAAAATAAATTTATGCAATAATGTTTTAGAATACCTGTGAACCAATTTGGCAAAATCACACTGGTTTGGACATGTTTTGGGCTGAGGCAGTGTCAAATTTTTCCTAAACTTCCTAGCGACAGGCAACAAAGAAGTGTGCATGAAATTTAAACTCTCGTCAATTTCTTTAACAAGCTGGGACAGTGAAATTCCATTTCTCCTAAAACAAATAAAAATAATTAATAAACAATCACTATCAAGAAAAGTAGCAGAAAAGAATATAAAATAAATAGTACATTATTTTTATTTAAAATAAATAATCATTAGACCTATGGTTATTTAACAGTTATCAATCACCTATCAATTGGAAACCTATGTTTCCTCATTGGAATGGGAAGGGGCAGCTGCCACATCTTACTCCACTCTGGATAAGTTCAAGCCTTTTATATATATATATATATATATATATATATATAACTCTTTAAAAGCTTCAGTGATAGTAAAGTACTTAAGCATCATGAAATATAAACTTACTTATTTTATTTATACTTGGCCATGAAAATATTTCTCATCGAAAAATATTTTATAATATATTTGTAGTATGCACACAAGTAGTTTAAGTAAAATAAACTTTGAAAAGTTTTTTCATTGTAAATTAATGCATAGCCCTCACTTTGGAGGTCTCTGATTGCTCAAATCAATAAAATTCATAACTGAAATAATGATAAAATTGTACTTACGGTTCATCAGCAATTTTTCCTATTAATTTCAAAATGATTGGATAAGTGTGCTTTCTGAACCACCCATAATGAAGTTCCAGAAGAGAAACTACATCTTCGTTTACAAGAGGAAGTAAAGGCTGCTTTTCATTGGGTAGAAATAGTTTGCGCCTGGCTGCATGGGAGAGCTTGAATCTCCAGGCAATGCCATAGATAAACCGGGCACATAGTTTGTCCTGAAGTTTAACATCATTTGTACTCAATGCTGTTGTCACAACATAATCAACAATCATCAGAAGATTGTATAATGATTTAATAAGCGGTGTTTGAAGAGGCCAGTCATCAATTTGTCCTGAAATTAGAAAATTATATAAATAAAATTTAGATCTTCAGTCTAAGATTTATTAATTATTAATGGACAGTGAGTGATGTTAGTTAACAACAGCAATGGCTGAGTAAAAATAACAACTATATATAATCATTTGAAGAACTGGAAGAGACTTAAGTGTAAATGACCCCAGTTGTAGAAACACCCAAATAAATAAATAATCATTTGAAATATATATTTTAACAAAATAAATAAACAAATAAACTCTAACAACTAAATCTCAAAAAGCAAAACCAGGAACAGAATTAGTTACCATGCAGCACATGGCTTATTTACTTGCTATCCTTGATAATGATCTTTCTAAGCATAGAGAAAGAAAAAAAATTATAAGTAACAAATGTAAGTGATAAAGTTTCTATAAGCTATTAATTTTAGTTCCAATTCTTATTAATTATTTATTGTATTGGGTAGAAAAAACCCTTTAGGGTATGATAAATTAGTACTATGAAGATAATTAGAGTTGATTTTAGGCTAAAACATCATAACATCACAAACGTCTTAATCTTAATCGTATTTATGTAACCATATAAAGTCACAAACAAACTACAGCTCAATGGTGTTCACAAAATGACTGAAAATAAAGAGCTTTAGGTCTACTTTATATATAGAGGCTATATACATATACATATAATATATATATATATATATATATATATATATATATATATATATATATCTTATTTTTGTTTTCTGTAACATTTTAGATCTTGTAGATCTTTCGTCACTTTAATAAACCTTCTCCATCTCTGTCTATCTTGAGCTATTTCTTTCTAGTTAACTACATGCAGCTCCATTGCATCTTCATTGATTCGATCTATCTATCAGGCTTTTGGCCTTCCACGTGGTGTTTTGCCTACTGTTGAAGCATTCATTGTTGAGTAGAGACGATAAATCGCTCTGAGCTACATGCCCCACCCATTTTAATCTTCTTTTTTTATATAAATAACAACACCAAGAGTGAAATATACCAGCCGCCTTTATTACTGTTTGGTTTAAATCTGATCTCTAATGATAAAAAGATTCTACACTTATGCACTACACCATTTAAAAATTAATTTTTGTACCTATCATGAACAAACTATAGAACAACCAACCAACTGTAACTCAACCTGAAAGCATCTAAAGAAAGAAAGTTCACACTAAATTAATATGACCAAAAGAAGACTTAAATGGCTATAAAACAACAGATCAAAACATAGGTTACGTTAACATTTCTTTACCTTTTCCACAAGCTTTGGAGTATTCCAAAGCAGACATTATTCGCCAGTTTTTATGAGACACTTCAATTCCTTCGTCATTGGTAGTCTTACACATGAATTGATAATAAATTAGAGTGATCATTTTGTTCTCAAACGTCCAGGACTCTGAAAAGGGTACAATTGTGGAAACATGTCTCATATCCCATGGTATATCTTTTTGATACTGATTGAACCTCAGGATGCAACCAGACACAATGTTGGATGTTATCATCATCTTTTCATACACCTCGTGACCTTTCAACCTCGGCTGTAAACGCTCCATGTATTTTACGATTCCTTGTAACCACAGTGCTCTTGTTTCTATATCATTGTGTGTTGCACAACTGTAAAAACTTGAAACCAAATAAGGCAACAATTCCAGAATGTTGCAATCCAGATTGATGTGCTCTGAAAACTCATGGGAGAAACGCTCTCCTACTACATCCCTTATAGTTATGGGTCTGGGCCAATTTGCTGAAAGACCACTGAGGTCAAAGTTTTTGAGGATGGCATAAAGCAAGGATCCGTGCAGTTTTGCAATACCAAACAAAGAATCTTCTTGTAGATAGAATGTTGAAAGGGTTTTATATTCAGGGTAGAAACAGTCGACTGATGTAAACAACACTTGAGATAATGCTTCTTTCTTTTCTGAAAGTGTTTCCTTAAGAAAATTTTGTAACGATTCTTTCTGATAAGATGTCAGATTTCTTGATTTAACATATACATCCAAAAACGCCTGTTCCAAAGACTCATAAAAAGGAAATCCCTGTTGATGACTTCGTTCTGCAGTAAAAACTACTTCTAGTAAATGATGTAATCCTGGTTCTTCAGGTCCTGAAATGAAAAATAATAATTAAATTGAAATTTTTAAATAAGTAATTTTATATGACTGAAACAAATTTTTGAAAGATATAAACAAAGGCATATAGATAATTTTACCAATTTCTTGATCGACGACTTTTTGATGTATATCAAAAATGATATCCTTATGTAATGATGACTTGACTCCACGTTTAGAAAGTAATGAATCCAAATCACAAGGGTGTATATTTTTCACATCTGGTACATCTAAATAAATTTCAACACCTCTATTTCTCATAGCTCTGAAAAAGTAATAGCACACTTTAGATCATTTGAGGAAAATAATAACAAATAAAAATAAGATAATTAAAAAATAATTCCAAAGAATATGAATATGTGATCAAATGTAAATACATTAAAATCAGAAAGATTCCTTTAAAAATGGTTTTACAATCCAAATAAATTTCTTTAAATAGAGGTTTGGTGTTTCAATGATCTTAAAACTATTACTTAAAAAGACAAAATAAATAGCCTTAAACATGAAAACTAAGTTCTCAGCAAAGAAGTTAACACAACTCATACAAATAACTAGGCGCAATCTAAGCCTAAAGTGAACATTTCATTGAGATTTAAAGATGAGGGAAAAACGTAAATCAATGGAATTCCACTAAAATCTTATAGGAACAAAGGAAGTGTGTTAGACTAACAAGATTATAGATTAAGTCATTGAAATATAAACCATTGTAATCATATCAACAAATGAAAATGAATTCTTTAATTGTATAATCAGACAAAATAATTTTATTTCTAGCCGGCATATTTCATTTCTGCAGAAGTAAATATTCTCTTAGTAATCAAAATCAAAACTAAACTTCAGCATCTTTGAAAATAAAAGAACATTTATTTAAAAAACCAATGAATGATATGATATCTCATTTCATTAAATATTACTTTATTATCGATTAAAAAAAAAACCCTAGATACACAATAATCTATTAAGTATTGACTGAGATGCAAAGAAAGCTTTACTAAAGCCTAGAGGACTTTTAAAGGACTGCTGAATTTCTCATTTTAATCTCTGGCCAGGCCATCTAAAAGAAGAATGTAAAAGAAGTATTAACTATAACAAATGTTTTATTTTCAATTTCAAGCAAACCAAAAAAACAAAACAAAAAACAATATTATCCAATTTTAATATGGACCAATGTTTTATGTTTATCAAACCTATCTCCTTAGAAATTGAACTGGAATAAGAATCTAACAAAAGAAAATTTTTGGGGTTGGGGTAAGCTCCTCGATATTTCCTTGAACATAATACCTAATAACATAAGTAGAGAAAAACACTTCATTTTCATAAAAGAGTGCTAGCAAATTGTATTGGGTTGCTAAACACACAGAATACTTATTGATCAAAATGGACAATCTTTAAAACTAACATACAAATATATGGTACCATTTCAATATATATGAGTAAAGTGAGTTTTTTTCAGGCATTTTTTATACTGTTTTTTTTTTTCTCCCTTCATACATTTCTTTCGTATTTTTTTTCTTTCTTCCTAATCTAATTCCTACTATCTAATAATATATAATACAGTTGACCACAAAGCATTTTCTTAAATGAAATTTACCTGGATATGTGACCATGCTTAGGATTGACAGTGAGAAACAAGCGGAAATTAGGATGTGGTTTTATGACTTGTTCTGCTTCACCACGCTCACCGAGTGCAAGAACACCCTGACGCTCTAGAAGGCTGTTCAATCTGTCTAGTACCGCACCACTACAGAGATTCACATTGTCTAAGAGTAACCATCTACCTGTCTCTAAACACTAAACAAACAATAATAATTTCAATTATTAATCATCAGTCAATAAAACAAGAGATAAGTATATAATAATTTATCTTATTATTATTCAATTAATTAATATTCCATTTCATTTAATATATTAATTTTATATATATATATATATATATATATATATATATATATATATATATATATATATATATATATATATATATATATATTAATTTTGAAATATCAAATTAAAGTCAGAAAAATGTCTTCAAAACTTTTTCTTTTTATTAATTCGATAGGTAGCTATATTTAGATATATCTTATTATAAATACCTGAAAACACATAAGTTAAAACATATAAATAAAGAGGAAAAATACATGAAATTATGATTGTAGAAGTACAATGTTTTCAGGTATTTATAATAAGGTATACCTAAATATAGCTACCTAACAAATTAATAAAAAGAAAAAGTTTTGAAGACATTTTTCTTTTATATAAACAGGATCAAAAGGCCCACTAATAGTTCATCCGTCCAGTACCAATACATTGGTATATAAAATATTTTCAGATAAAGCATACATTTGCTTATATATAACTATAAATTTAATTTATTCTAGTTTCTTTTTTGTCAAAGATGCCTAGATCAGTCAGTAGAATTTGGTTAAAGGTCTAAAGGAAATCGAAAACATACACATTATAATTTTACTATAGTATAACCGATGAACAAATGAATGGAATTAGTATGAATGCCAAAAAAAAAAAAAAAAACATTACTGGACAAATCAATTCAACTACTAATTATAAAAATTGAAATAGATAAATAATAATTTACTTTGATAAGAACACTGTCCATCCACTCAAAGATTCCGCCACCCTGCAGGCCGGTTAGGGCCACTTTGTCATTAAGTTTGGTAAGCTTCTCGGTAACAGACTTCTTGCTATTCTTATCTGGGAGCGCATCAAGGACTGCAGCAAGCTGCTTCATCCTGTGTTTGAACCTCTGTTCAGCTTCTTCTAGTTTGTAACCTGTCAACACAGAGAAATAAAATAAATATTAAAATTGAGAAAAAAATAATATATTTTAACATCATTACTAAACCATTCTTTGAAAAGGAGTTAGTAATTTTGCTTATATTTAAGATAAATATCTAAAATATTAATGGCTAAAGTGGCCATTAATGAAATCAAGGAGATGGTGCTTGGACATCTGATTCATAAATAAAAACATACAGTAATAGAAATTCAAAAGTAAACATTCACTGTTTAATGTTTCATGAAGTAATGTTTAATGTATCAATTGGTAAATATAATTTGCCAAGGCACAGACTATTATAGATGTGAATTTATTAGATGTATAGTTTTGGTGGATAACAGAAAAAAATGTTTTAATTATTAAAGTTTAAAACTTTGCTGAAAAAATTCCTGAAAGTACTTAGGTCCTTTTGCATTTCCACAATTCAATTTAACTTAGAGAAATTCAGACAAACTTAATAAGATAAAACCTTTCGAAAATGATTATAATAAATTAAATAGATGTTTTTGTTTCTGCCCAAATTTTTTACAATGTCTGTCACTACAATAATTAATAACATGGAATACTATCCCACTTGGCTGCCAAAAGATTAGTATGAACTGTTGTTCACCCTTTAATTGAAATAAAAATAAAATGTAGGAGTATTTGCATCTAAGTATTGACAGAAAAGTCAAGAAGTATAAAAGTATCTTTCATATATTACTCTAAAAATTAATTTTTTGTTGATTTGAGCATTTAATTTTTATAATATAAACCATAAATATAAAGCCATATAACAATATAAATTATTAAAAGAGCACTTAAATCCGATCCTGCAAAGAAAGGGAGTATTCGCCATTTTTATCTCTGAGTTTTAATGTACAAAGCACAGCACTTCTTAGCCACCCCTTTGCATACTTACAAAGAAAATAGAGAACTTCCATTGAGGAGAATTTGAGTGCACAACTTGAGACAATGTAGGAAATAAGAAAACAATGATAGCTCTGGTTCACCAAGCTATTTGCATATGAAAGAGAGAGTAATCCAAAAGTTCTGTTCTACATAAATATCTGTTCTTTTTTTCTACTGCCTTAACCAACTGAGGTAGTTTGGAAATACTATATTTTTGTTGTAGACCAAAATACGTATCAGCGATTTCTTATAATTTATCCATTTTAGGGATTAAAAAAAAGAGACCTAACTTTGTAGCAACATTAGTAGCTTTTTCCATTAATTAAATAATCTCTATAACATTCCCATCAATTAATATTACCTATCCAATCGCTCCTCTTTGGAAAAAATTAAGGATTTAAATAAATATGGTTTTATTCGTATAAATTAAAGATTTTTTTTCTCTTGCAAATATCTGTTGTTTTATTCAAAACTAATAGGGAAAAAAAGTAAAAGATAATACGAAAAAAATCTTAACTTGATTCAACCAGTGATGAAACATAATATAATAATTAAGTACTATGAACCTGTATTTAATATTCAGCACATTTGGTAGACTAACGAAAACAAATCATAAAATAATACACAATCTAATGAAACAAAGTTATTTTTTTCTTCCTGGCTACCGAAAGTACGGAAGTTTTGTATTTATTTCATGGAAATGGTTAAAAAAACATTGTGCTCAGAATCTAAAATTCCCACTGGCGTCTTGCAGTTTTAGATATCAAGGAATAAATTTAGTTTTTTGTCAGTTTGTCTTAAATCAAATTCATGTGACGTTCATATCACCTAGTACTGATAATCCATTTTTTATGAAATTTGATCCTCTACTTTAGCATTTGCGT